TAGACGAGGATGGATAAAATTCCGTTACTAATACCAATATCGTTTATAAAGAGATTTGCAATAATGTATAATTCAAGTCATTGATATTATATTTTTTTATATACAAAGATGACAAAATTGCTATATATCTACACAGAAAATATATCTTCTGTATAAATAATTTCAATAACTGAGTTGCCAGACAACAAGCTAATTAGGCCAATTAATACAAATTTTAAACACAGATATATAAAATCTCTAAAGTTGCAGCACTGAATGTACGCATCTACACATTAGCTATTAATTGGGCAATTATTTATTCGAATTCAAGCATTGATAACATCAGAAAACATAATCGGTGCAACTCAATTCTTCAATTATATTATATAGTATTCGATGTTATAATTTATACAATTGTATATCGATCTAAATATTTTTAAAATATTATAACAAATTCATTCCGTGCAACGTACGGGCGCAAATAGTAGTATACAAATAAAATTATTATCACTTAAGAAACTGGGATTTAAGACCAAGGCTCTGGGGTAAGGATCAGTTGGTAAGCCAAAATCCTTGTATCTGGTATTATATGGACAATTCATAACGTGCCTACACAAGATAATTTTACAATTGTGATATATATATACAAACACACTTTAAAAGAGGTAAAACACATTAATTTAGTATATGTGTTTTCCTTGTTAGTTTCTTTTAATTTGCTACATTTAATGTAGTAATATTCATTAGGACTGAACCATGCATAAATTTTTAATTTCTGTTATTCCAGAGGGTTTACTACAGGAAGAAGTTGATGATGATATTGAGGAAAATGTGTTGAGAATTGAAGATGCTGCAGATCAGTTAACCAGAATACAACATGAAGGTGACAATTTGGAGAGAGAAGTCTCTGCCTCAGACCACTTATGAATGGTGTCAGATATGCAGATAATTAATGTGGTTGAGTTTTCGCAAGTGAAAACCTTGGAGGATTTCAACGTTGTTGTCAACAACCTAAACATAGATTCTGAGATCTCCGAACACACCAGGCTCAAGTACTATGAGCTAAGTCAGCGGTCGTGCTGCTGTCTCATGATGCACCCCTCCCGTGCGACGATCGTGCGGCCGTCTCATCATCGATTCTCTATTTCTTCGATCTTTAATTTCATCACAAATTCTCTAGCTGCTTCTTCGATCTTCCACTGCCGGCTCTCTATTGCTTCGATCTTCCTTTTCAACTCTTTGTTGCTTTGATCCACCATCGCTATCTCTCCACTGCTTCAATTTTTCATCGCCGACTCTCTACTACTTTTGCGTTTAATTTTGTAACTGAGTCTCGCTCTTATTTTTCGTCGCTGAATCTCGCTCTGATTTTTCATTGTCGAGTCTCGCTCTGATATTTTGTCACCGAGTGTCGCTTTTATTTTTGGTCATTGAGTCTCGATTTCTTGCGTTAGTCTTCCATCGACAACTCATCGCTGCTTTAGTCATCCGTCGTCAACTCTCCATTACTTCAATTTTCTATATTCGACTATCTGTTGCATCAAATTTCCATCGCCGATTCTCTACTATTTCAAATCTTCTATCATCCGTCGCAGACTCTTTGTTTCTTCGATCATTAATTGCCTATTCTCCGTTGCTTCGATCTTGCATTTTCTACTCTTTTGTGCTTTAAGCTACCATCGTTTAGTCTCCAATGCTTCAATTTTCCATCGCCGACTACCCCTCCGCTACTTTTCGAGCCCACTTCTACTACCTGTTCGAGCCATTTACTCCTAAACCAAAGTAATTTGAATCTTTTTGCAATTTGTGTGTTTGTAATAATATAGAGAATAAATATATTGAATGTGTAGAATGAGAAAAAAATAATTCAAATAGGTCTCTCAATTGATTAGTTAATTTTTGCTGTTTATTAGTTATTACCCTAATTGCTCTATATCATTTCTCAAATCTCATTTCTCTTGATCACTCACTCCTTATTAATTGTACTAGTGGGATAATGCCCAATATTTTTTTAAAATAAGTAATTTAAAGTATATCAATACAAGATTATATTGGAATTGTTTATGCATAGATAATTGAATGTCGAATTTGCGTATTTAAATAGGTAATTCTAAGTTTACAAATGCAAAGTCAAGATTAATTATAATTGTCAACAAAATAATTGTATAGGTATGGTTGAAACCAAATACGGGACATAAGGTAGAGTAAATAAAAATTAAGGTATAAAATATTAAATATATACTAATATTGAAGAGGTAACTGCGGATTGCCAAACAAAGACATTGCGAGTTAGTTTCCCACTTTAATTGTTGTATACTCTTTGTATACTCTTTTTGTCAATAAATCCCTCAAAGTAGTATAGTTAATATGATTGGCTTAATTATATTTTTTTATTCTTTATTTTTTAAAAACAATTATTATTATTATTATTATTATTATTATTATTATTATTATTATGTATACTGTTAGGTCATTTTTACATGTTAATCTAAACAGCTAATTTTTTCAAATATCTTTTTACCAACCGTTGATACAATTCGCTGGTCAAATCCGCTAATATAATCCTCTAACGCTAGCCGCTAAATGCTGATTGTCAAACAAGGACATTGCAGGGTAGTTCTCACTTCAATTTGTTGTGTGATTTGAATACTCTATTTGTCAACAAATCCCTCAAATAGTTAATATGATTGACTTTATTAATTATATATTTTTAAAATTTTTTCATGGTATTAATAAAATACTTGGTAAATAAATATATGGCATTATTTTGCATTATTTTGAATGGAAAGAATTTTTACATTGGAGAAATATAAAGACAATATAAGTAATAAAATTATTTCTCTTAATGAATTTATTTAAAATGAATAATTTTTTTTTTAAATTAAAGACATTTTAGGGACAATGTAGCGAATATAATCAATTGATGAATTTGAATGTAAAGAATTTTTATATTGGATAAAAATAAAGACCTTATAACTAATGAAATTATTTCTCTTATTTAATTATTGATAATGAATAAATTTTTTTTTTAATAAAGACATTGTAGACACATAATTCTAAATTAAAGAAATGCATATGTATTATTTTTTGTTGTAGCTACTAAATTATTGTTTAGTTGAATAAGAGTAAAATATAGTGCTAATTATGACAATTTTGATTGGAATGAGGTTTGAACCTAAAACCTTTCTTATTGAAATTAATGAGTAAGTTACCGATGAACTAACAGAAATTAACAGAAAAGATAGTATTTAAAGGAAAAGCTAATGGATAATCATATTCATTAAGGATAAATTAGAAAATCTTAAGGAAAAATTAAAATCTAATCAATCTGAGCCATTCATTTGATTAAAAAATTTGACAGCCATTTTTTCTACCCATTATAGGCCTAACCCACTACTGGAAATTATGGAATTTCCGACCACCTGAAAGTGATCTTAAATCACGTTGATACCAAAAAGTGGTCGGAAATAGCAACAAAGGTTTTTCCGGATACCAAAAGTGGTCGAAACAAGACTTTTGACTTGATTTAAGATCACTTTCAGGTGGTCGGAAATTCCATAATTTCCAGTGGTGAACTCTCTTGGGCTCTTATTAGTATAGTAGAGATATATAAGTCTCATATTTCTCTCAATTTTGGATAGTCTCATCTCTCAATTCTCTTCTAAATGGAAAGTATACTCACATTGTCTTATTTTAAATATCATACCTTTTTTTTTTTTGAGGATTTAAACCAACATTTTTTATTAGATTATTTTCTTTTTGTATTTCCAAATAATTTTTTTTTTCTGTTTAACAGAACTTTTAATATTATTATTTCTAAATATGTTAATTTTATATACTAAAACTAAATTTAATATTATGAACAATTGATTTGTAAATAACTTCAGTTAACCGACTAGACATATGAAATGAGACAAATGAAGTATCTTTACTTTCCTTAGTGCTAGAAGTTCTGGAATGAGAAAGTAGGTGATGTCTTCCATTAGTGTAGGTGCTTAAAAATTAAACTTTCTAACAATCTGTGAAAGTGGAGTTGTTGCGCGGCAGGATAAGAAAGCTGATTAGGCTGTGTGAGGTGGCTGAAATTGTTGCCGCAAAGGAGAAGGAAAAAGGCATATATACCTAAAGATCAGAGGAGATGAAAGATCTCTTGTACAAGGTGTAAAAGGATTAAAAATTTAGATGAGGATATCCAGGCACACAACCGCAGGGAGAGTGTAAAGGAGGTTTAATTTTCAAGAATGTTGCAAGTGAAAACCCTTCTTCTGTAGTGCTGCTAATTTAATTTGTTGGGATTTTGGAATACACAAGTTTTTCTTTCCGTGAGTTATCGTGCTGCTGTCTCATGAAGCACTCCTCCCGTTTTTGAATACATATCGCCGATTCTCTGATCCTTCATCCCAGATTCTCTCCTTCTTCGATCTTCCACCGTTGGCTCTCTAATGCTCCGATCTTCCACCGTCAGCTCTCTAATGCTTCGATCTTCATTTTCAACTCTTCGTTGCTTTGATCCACCATCGTTGACTCAGCACTACTTAAATTTTTCATCGCCTACTCTCTACTACTTTTGTGTTTTGAGCCCACTTTTACTATCTGTTTGAGCCTTTTACCCCTACACCAAGGTAATGTAAATCTATTTGTAGTTTGTGTGTTTGTAATAATATAGAAAATAAATATATTGAACACTGCTGGAAATCTGCATTTTTCCGACCACCAAAAAGTGGTCGGAAAAGGGAGATTTCCGGTCGGAAATGCAATTTCCGACCAACTTTCCGACCATTTCATGGATTCGGAAAAAAAGCCCTAGCTGTTACCGACAACTACTCAAGGTGGTCGGAAATACCGGCTTCATTTTGAGGACGTCGGAACTACTAGTTGTCGGATAAAGAGAGCATATTTCCTACCATTGGTGGTCGGTAATTGGTCGGAATTACCATCCACTAGTGGTAGGTAAAATTTACAAAGAAAAAATAAAAAAATTCAATTACCGACCACTAGGTGGTCGGTAAGATTTACTAACCAAAAAAATAAAATATAAAATTCTACAAATATCAAATGAATTTGACATGTTACAATTATACAAATTTCAGCACCACGAGAGGATGAACGTTGCTTTCCATCTATGAGAGTCCATGACAAAATGGAACAAAAATAATACTTCTAAACCAAAAATCTAATAGGTTAATACACATGGGAATCTCAAATAGAAAATTACACAACCATATATAAGAGGGGATGTCAACACTTAAGCCAACCTCATTTCAAAAAGAAAACAAAAACTACTCTGTAATTATAAGACTAAATGAATAGCCAGATTGGTCAATGTCAACTGAGTACAATGTAAAGAAATTCCAAATTTTTTAGTACTGTAAGAAACACTAATACCTGATACATGTCAGACACTGTAATTTCAAAAGATCTTTCACAAAAACCTTCTATTTCATACATGCTCCATGAACAAAATCCTGCTTGTGTTCAAGATGTAGTGATTGGACAAAATAGAGATAAGAGAATTTCAAGAGATAAAACAGGAAAAAGAAAGCAATCCTTTTTTTTTTTTTTTGAAAACAGAAAGAAAGCAATCCTTTAAGTCCATGGGAATGTAATTTACCTTCATCATCTCCATGCCTATTATCAGCAATATAATTTCCGCGCATCCCACACCTTGGTTGATGTATGGAGCTCCCTTTGGCCTCTTCACTAGTGAAAACTTACAAAAGTGATGAGTTTGTATTGTAATTAAAGTTGTCCTATTGGTAATGACAACTCGCTTACATAAATGTACAAATAATAATGCTGTCAAAAAAATGAATAAATAATAAGAAAAGTTGTCAATTATTGATATTGAGTCATATGATGGAATAAACAAGTTTAAAATACATCATAAAAGTTCATACGCACCTCATCCAAGGGAGCAAATTTCTCAATATAGGCATCACATGCTTTGAGAATGTAATAACCGCGCCTCTTGAAGTGCTCTTTGAAAAGTTCTTCAAAGTCCCACATACAATCATGAGATTGGAAAAATCAATTCTCCTTTGAAGAATTAATGCCAGAGAACCAATTGTAGCATCAGTTTCAACTTCACAGGCAGAAAATTATATTAAATTGGTTTTCCTTCCTATAGTATCCCTGCATGCAGCACCAATACAAAATCAAGTGCTACCAGCCTCTTTTGCCTGCCAATGCATTAAATGGGGGACTTAACTACATAGCATGAGAACAAACATTACAGAAGTCTTATCCCATTATTTTCCTGGTAAGAAGAATAATATATCATTCCAGAAGTCTATCACCAACCTGTCTTGCCTAATTTGGAATAAGTATACCATCTGCATAAATATCTATTGATCACATTGACCCATCCCATGTCAAATTTTAGAACTTCAATTTCTAGCATATCAAATTGATGGAAGATTACTATGTGGTTATACTTATATCATATTAATATTTACAAAACTGTAAACCTACAACTAGTATTTACCATGTGGTCTAAAAATGATGCCATATTTATTCCAAATGTAATTACAATGAAGTAATAATACAATTCCAATTCACAGTGACACTTACAGAAGAGTGCACTGCTGTACCTCCTGGAAGTTGAGACCATGCCTATGAACTTGAGCCTGCAAAAGCATAAACAAATCAGAAACAAATGGTGCATTCGCCGACAAGATAGAGAGAAATAAAGAGGGAGCTGACGCCGTGAAAGAGGAGATCGAGAAGCGGGGAGTCGTAAATGGACTTGATTTCAGGCCTGGTCCAGTCATGTATGGGACCTTCCCTGATGCATGTCGGGATTCATAATCATTTTTCCCGAATCCGGCCAGCCTCAACCCGCCTCTTCTCTGAAATTATTCCACTCAGAAAATTAACACCAATTCAGTTAAATAGCTAATACACAAATACAAAGGAAAATTATACAGACCAAGTTCATGTTGTTGCTTGAATGAACTCTTCACCATCCCAAGTTATGAACTTTGCCATCTCAAAAAAACAAAAGATGATGTCAATTGATGCAAGAAGAAACAGAAAAGAGAAAAATATTATTTTTCTCATTCGCATAATCACTTCAACAATTAGGTTAAAAATTTACCTCTATAGCAAGCAAACTTTAGTATACAAGATCTACAAAGAAAAAGAAAGAATAAAATGAAAACAATATCCATGATTTCTAATAACCAAAATTTTAAGTCATACAATAGGTTAAGACTGAAGTTGTTGATCAAAAAGTGCCCCAATGTAATATAATTTCCCTATGCGTTACCAGAAAGAATATCATAAATGGGCAAATATACACAGAAAATCACAATCATCCCTCCAAATTATCTCTGTCAGAAGAAAAACCGCATGAAAGCACCACATAAAATACTGCAATGAAATCCAAAATGAGGAAACAAAGGATAAAAAATCAGCAATCTCACCAAATATGTGAATGCAGTTAGGCATTACTTTCGCGGACACCACGCCAGTGACAATTTCTTTCACGGACTCCCTCAGAAGCTTGAATTCGAAACTCTACCCTGCAAACGCCCCGCTGAGTGTTGATCATTCTCTAGTTTTCGCGATTGGTGTTGGTGTCAATCCATGCCCTACTTGCTCAAGTGGAACCCGGGTTGTTGCAGTTATCAATAGTGTTCGTGAGCCCAAGTCCCTAATATAAAGCCAAACAAGTTTTACCGGTGAAAATGGTCAAGTTCATGGCAGTAGTAAAGAAAATGTGCATTATTATGAAGCTAGTCAAAATTGATGAGATCAGTGCAAGTGCCTTTGAGTCGACAACTCAAATCTTTTTTCGAACTTCATCTAGCACAACCCCTGACTGCAAAAGTTACACAGGCAGTACGAATATCTAGAAACCAGAAGGGAAAGAAAGTGAAATTGAACTAAGACAACGACACAGAATTTAGTACCTTCTTTGAACATTAAGATCAACCCAATTATCAACAGATCTACACTAAACCCCAAGTGAACATTAAGATCAACCCAATTAGGCCTTGGTTGAACCGACAGCGAGCACCATAGCCGCACAAGCCAGTCCCCAAGTAATAGATACAATCAGCCACGTTAGGACGCTCGGGGTAGGATTTGGGCCCACCACTGTGTGACAACTGCCACAAAGCCTCTGCATTTCACAGTTAAAACTTCAAACAAACAAACAAATTAATCAACCCCGGCAGGCCCGCATTATCGCAAATAAACAACTTCGGGGGAAATTCACATGAAATTCATGCAACTACTCACCTTCGAGCCCCGTCTCAGTCGCCGAAACCACGCCGGCTGCATATATGATTTAAAAAATGAATAAACAAAATAAAAATCTAGGGGTAGATAAGATACATGAGAATACAATGATATGATATTATGATAATTTAATAAATACCATATGCACTTTTTGATGTTGCATATATGATTTTAAAAAAAAAAAAAAATCTTGAGCCTAAGATGAAATTGACTTATATCAAACATTAGATAATGAAAAAAAAAAAAGCATTAGTGTTAGTATATACCCTGTATTAGTAATGACTCATATTTAACTACTGAATAAAATAACAATTTTGATAATAGATATTGTTAAACTTCATGAACAATCAAAAGAGACCATAAACTTCATGAACAATCAAATACCTCAATGCAGGAGGCTAAAAAGAGCACCAAGTTTTGAAATTTACCTTGTAATGTATGAGTATGAAATCAGTATGACAGTGACTATATGATGAGACATCATTACTGCAAAATATTTCGTTCGAGTTTCCCAGACAAGGAGGGCAACGATGCTATAGACATAGAACCCACATTGGCACATGTATATAAGAATTATGGAAGGCCTGACACAGAAAAGGAAGTATGTTAGAAACCAGTTCAATTCTTCATGTATGAGCATGCATCTATACCAAATACACACATTATATACATGTGCATATAAAATGAAAAGTATAGAATGAAACATATCTTGAAATCTTACAAGCATATTCCTCAATCATATGGGCCCATCTATTGCTTCACACACAGAGAATAAGAGTGTTTTCAGATATTTCTTCTGCAATGTATCATATACTCCTACAAACATAAATAAACACAAATGAATAATAAAATAATAGAGAAGAATAAAACAGAAATGAACAAAAAATAAGAAGAAAAAGAGCAAAACTCTAGTAGAACAAGCATGTTAACCTGTAGTTCATCTAATCACTTACTAATATAGTGAGTTGCTGAGAAAATGCTCCAGAAAAATATTCAAGGAAATATATTAGATGGCCTAGAATTGTAAGAATGTAAGTCCAGAGAGTAACAAGACTAGAAAACTAAAATTGCAGTCCTATATGAAATTCTTGTATAGATTAGGTTAGACATCCAAGAATTATAAGAATGTAAGTCTAGAGAGTACCGAGATACTGCTGGTATTAACCTGATGATAATAGCAGAGGTGATTGTGTACACAAATGACCACTGAGTCGAGACTTTGTCCAGGGATCCATGGCTGGTCTTTGTGGTAGCTGTGGGGTGGGTGGTTTTGATTGTCTAAGTTCATTTTCCCTATCAATGAACCTTCCAAGGGGGAATGGAAATCTGTCAGATAAATAACAAAATGAAAGCAAGACCCCAAAAATTATGTCCTCAAAGTATGGTACAGATTAATAGGAATGCCAAATTATTTAGAGTATAGCCTTTTCCAATGCAACTTTTGCTATATATTTTCTTTACATTTTAAATTCAAAATAAACAAAAGCTAACTAGTTCTTGAGCTAAATGCAAAATTTGGACTGTCCTACAGTTGTGAAAAATCCAGACAAAAACAGAAATTTGTGAACAGAAAAAGTACATGGAAAACAATCTAGGAATCCTAAAGAGAAGTTTTCAGCAATACCCTGAAAAAGATACCCTGAAGAGGGCTCAATACAAAAAGAACATTATAAAGGTTTTAGACTCAATACTTCAAAAGATCACTTCTAGGACATTTAAACAAGGACTCGAACTTAAGAAACTACTACTAATTTAAGCAGTTGGAACTCCAAAATCACCAGCATGCCATTGACCCTCACAGGAAGTAATTAGAGATTCATAAATCTCTAAAACTATGAATAACTCATGATTTAGAAATTAGAAGAATATACTCCTAATCTGAACCAAGTACATCATAATGTAAATGATGTGGATGTAAATCAATCAGAAAATTGCAGCTAAATACAATACCAAATGTGAGTTTGAAACACAACTAAACCTTTCATTTTATTTCTGTAAACTTATTAACATTGAGGGTTAGATTTTGTATAAATGGCCACCAATAGTGTTAGCACACCAATAGTCACAAACATAAATCCTATTCGATGCAATAGGAGACGGGAGGTGTCCGGAGGGCAATTCAAGATTTCATTTTCAATCAAACTGAAATTAGGGGATGGGTCTAGCATTTATATCCAATAGGACTGATCATATGTTTAAGGTCCAAAAAATTAGTTCAAAGATAAACAGAAAATGAAAGGCAAGTAGGGAGTTTATTTTAGGCTCATTTCAACTATAAACATGTTTTAGAATGCTGAACTTTTGTAAAGATGGGAATAGAAAGAGAACTCACTGATGAATCCTTATGCTTGTGGCTTTTACTTTTATGCTTTTCTCCTTACTTCTCTGAAATGATATCAATGGTGACTTCTTTCAAACCACACATCACCAATTCATAGGAGAATAATTTAATTTAAGCATACCATGAATCATAGTACAAAATTAGAACTTTTTTCTAACTCGTAATTGATGTATAGGCATCAAGTCTATTATAAAAGGTACTCACAATATCAATGTGCACAGTCAATAAAGGGAAGGCATGTTAACAAAGTAAGGGAACTCCAAAAGCAATTTCAAGTGAATAGATTATATAGAAGAAACACAATTCCCACCAAATTAGCCAGATTGACACTCAAAATTCAAAAACAAATCGGCAGCTCACTGAAATTTCGCGCAAAAGGATAGGAATTCATAGAAATTACAGATTGACACTCAAAATTCAAAAACAAATCGGCAGCTCACTGAAATTTCGCGCAAAAGGATAGGAATTCATAGAAATTATTTACTGATTCTTCTGAATAAATGTAATTATAAAATGAAAAAAAAAATATGAATCTTAATCAAAAATTAGATACAAACATAAATATATGCATATATAGAGAGAAAGAGGTGGATATAGAATAGGAGAACCTGGAAAAAATCAGTTGCAATGTCTTCTTCCTTCTGCTGCTTTCTACGATTAGGCTATGATTTGCAATGTCTTCTTCCTTTTGCTTCATTCTACGAGTAGGCTACTAGGTTGTGATGAAGTGAGGACGAGGGTTGATGATGGTAGAGTTTACGGCTCGTGTGTTGATGAAGTGAAGAAGTGAGGACGAGGGTTTAGGGCTCGTGTGTTGATGAAGTGATGAAGTGATGAAGTGATGAAGTGAGGACGAGGTTTTAGGGTTCGTGTGTTGATGAAGTGAAGACGAAGTGCGAAGACTATTTAAGTAGATGTTGCTGAAAGAACAATTTGTTGGAGTGAGACCACCTGCTAAATGGACGAAAAAATTGTTTTGACTATTTTTACTTAAATTCCGACCACACTTTAAAAGTGGTCGGAAATTCCTACTCTTTTCTGCCCAACTCAACTCTTGGACGAAAAATAAAAAAAATAACACTTTTTCGACCATTTTTGTGAGTGGTCGGAAAAGTGGTCAGAAATTTGACAAATTTCAGCAGTGGAAAATGTAGAATGAGTAAAAATAATTCAAATAGGCCTCTCAATTAATTAGTTAATTTTTGTTGTTTATTACCCTAATTGCTCTGTATCATTTCTCAGATTTCATTTCTCTTGATCACTCACTCCTTTAGGTGTAACAGAGGGATCGAAGTCCTTAAAAATAAAAAAATGGGTCTTGTGGCAACCCCTCTCCCATCACGTTTCAATCTGAGTACTATACGTACCCCAGTCACTGTTTTTCGCCAAGTTGACCAGAAAATCAGCACACTGGTTGCCTTCAGTGACGGTATGGATGAAATCCCAATCCTCAATTTGTTCGGATTGACCAGAATAAGGGTCCCAGTTTCAGGTCTGGCACCGCCTTCCCTCTTCACCGCATTGACCATAGATTCAGAGTCAGTTTCAATAATGATTCTTAAAGCAAGACAGAGCCCATCCCTCAATCCCCAGAGTTCCGCCATTTATAAAACTGCTAGTTATCTCGATCTTTGTGATGAAACCCACGACCCACGGGCCGTTGTGATCACGAACCAAATCACCAGCACTGGCCATGCTCGTGTTGGCTTTAATTTGCACCCCCCCGTCCGTTTTGAGTTTGAAGCTAGTAGCCGTCATGGTGTTTAACGAGGAAGGAGAGAGCTTCCGTCAGCCCTCGTTTCTTAGTGCTGCAGCTTGAATGTTATAATTATTGTATTAGTTGATAAACCAAGTATGCATGAAGTAGTTAGCGGATGATTTGAGCAAAACTAGTAAATTAGGAAAATTGTTTTAATGTGTATGGCTATTGTAATTCATTATTTGCTAATTTGTACGGAATTTGTTCATCTATTGCAATAGCTGGTGTAGTATGCTAAAGAAATCAAGGCAAGTCAATTCTCAATTTTCTTTCCTCTTCAAGAATTTCCTTTATATATATATATATATATATATATATATATATATATATATATATATATATGTATATATATATATAGAGAGAGAGAGAGAGAGAGAATCTTGATTAGGGCAGCGGGCTCCTCCCGTGCGGCCGTCTCATTATTGTCGATTTCTCTACTTCTTCGATCTGACTCTCTACTACTTTTATGTTTTGGGCCCACTTCTACTACCTGTTTAAGCCTTTTTACCCCTACATCGAGTTAATTTTAAAATATACAAATAAAATTATTTCCACTTAAAAAACTTCGATTTAATACCAAGGCTCCGAGGTAAGGATCAATTGGTAAGCCAAAATCCTTGTATCTAGGATCATACGGACCATTCATAACCGGCCTACACAAGATAATTTCACAATTGTGAAATATATACACACGCATTTTAAAAGAGGTAAAACACACTATAGGAACCACCGGATAATAAAAAACATGAATTAAAGAACTTGTAGTCATTGAAAGGATCGGAATGTGATATCAAATAATGTGAAAATAAATTAATATAATACTAATAAAATAATCATTCTTAAAAATTTCAACTTTTAGGATCTCGCACTTTTACAAACAAAATTAAACAAGACTAATATGAGATTTTGAACACATAACTTAAACCAAACGTTCCTTAATCTACTATCCCGATTAACTTGTTTAAAGTAAGTCATCTCATATTAATTAACATGCATTCATGTTGTGCTGAGACATATGTATCGCAAACTATCTGTTTGACATGAACATAACATGTTTAATAAACATGTTACAATCCATAAACTTATACAAAAACAAGTTATAAAACAATGTTATTATATATGTTATAACATGCATACATCGATTTAACAAAAGGTTAAAAAATCTATCATAACATGTTAAATAGATGTTGAACTTATAATGATTGACCAGGACGCTATGCTGGTGAAGCTATGTTAGGAGCGTTGGGAGATTGAAGTTGGGATTCCATATTTCATACTGGCCTCTCCTCATTAGGTCATCCACATTAGTAGATTTTAGTGTAGTGTTTGAGGAAACTTGACTACTTGAGTGATGTGGCGGTGAGAGAGTATAGAGAGAGAATTTTTTTGGTCACTGATCATAGCCCCACCAAATTGAATAGCAGCCGGAAGAATCTCGTGTGGAAGGCAACATAGCACCCAGTCGTGCGTGTGCAGTGCACGCGCCAGTTGTGCACATTACAGTAATTTTTTTTTTTATTTTTCCTGACAGACAATTTTGTTTTAAAAAAAAAATCTTTTTTCTTTCTTCTCTTTCCATCTTCTCTCTCCTACTTGGCACCTCAAAAACCGATCCAAAAACTTCACTATGCCCTTAGTAATTAGCATTAGTTTCAGCCTATTTTATTTTTTTGAAAAATATAATAAAATAGTATAAGCTACTCGTATGGACACTGCTTAGTGCAAAAATAGTTTGAAATTAAATTAAAAAAAAAAATCTGTTTCTTATCATGTGTATTTGCTTGACATACCCCAGATCGTGAGGATGAGCCAACGAGTGTTTGAGAGAATCTTAAATGCCGTCATGGTGTTTAACGAGGAAGGAGAGAGTATTATGGAAATGAGTGATGTGATAGCAATTTGTACTATTGTGGTATGTATGACGTCATATTAAGTATGCCATTAGGGTGTGTTCATTATTTTTAGATAAAAGATTGATTTGACAATTTGTGGAGTATAAAATGGGTACACTTTATGTGAATTGTGGTACGCAAAAGGTGTGTAATTTATGTGGGGTTAGAATATTTTATTATTAAATGCCACCTGGGTCGCAGTTTATATGGACCGTGGAGTACAAAATATGTGCAATTTATTAGTTCATGTGGCATTTGATTTTTTTTTTAAATAGTCAACTCGGCCCCCTTAAGTCAATAAAATAATACAATTAATCATCTTTGTTTAGTTATCATGCCGTCATGGTGTTTAACGAGGAAGGAGAGAGCTTCCAGGGCGTGAGCCGTGGACCGTCTCCAGCAGTCAACCGCTCGATCACATCTCATGAATGCATGGTCCAGAGTTTCTTCTTCTTCGTCACACCAGGGGCAGCCTCCATGCTCCGTCAGCCCTCGTTTCTTAGTGCTGCCTCAATGTTATAGTTATTGTCAGTATGGAGTAGCTAGTTAGCGGATGATTTGGGCAAAACTAGTAGATTAGGAAAATTGTTTTAATGTGTATGGTTATTGTAATTCATTTGTGGCTAATAATTTGTAGGGAATTTGTTAATCTATTGCAATAGCTGCTGTAGTATCCTAAAGAAATCAAGGCATCTATTTTCAATTTTAAATACACAAGTTTTTTCTTTCCCCTTCTATAATTTCCTTTATATATATATATATATATATATATATATATATATATATATATATATATATATATATATATATATATATATATATATATGTATATATAGAATATAGAATCTTGATTAGGGCAGCGGGCTCCTCCCATGCAGTTGTCTCATTATTGCCGATTCTCTACTTCTTCGATCTGAGTCTCTACAACTTTTATGTTTCGGGCCCACTTCTTCTATCTATTTAAGCCTTTTACCTCTACATGGAGGTAATTTTAAAATATATAAATAAAATTATTGCCACTTAAAAAACTTCGATTTAATACCAAGGCTCGCTCTGAGGTAAGGATCAATTGGTAAGCCACAATCGTTGTATCTAGGATCATACGGACCATTCACAATAGGCCTACACAAGTTGGTAAGCCAAAATCCTTGTATCTAGGATTATACGGACTATTCATAACCGGCCCACACAAGATAATTTTACAATTGTGAAATATATACACACGCATTTTAAAAAGAGGTAAAACACATAAAAGGCACCACCACATAATAAAAAAACCTGAATTAAAGAACTTGTAGTCATTTAAAGGATCGGAATGTGATATCAAATAATGTTAATATAAATTAATATAATACTAATAACAAAATCATTTTTAAAAATCTCAACTTTTTAGGATCTCACACTTTTACAAACAAAATTAAAGAAGACTATTATGAGATTTTGAACACATAACTTAAACCAAATGTTCCTTAATCTATTATCCCGATTAACTTATTTAAAGTAGGTCATGTCATATTAATTAACATGCATTCATGTTGTGTTGAGACATATATATCGCAAACTATCTGTTTGACATGAACATAACTTGTTTAATAAACATGTTACAATCCATAAACTTATACAAAAACAAGTTATTAAACAATGTTATTATATATGTTATAACATGCATATATCGATTTAACCTAAAAGGTAAAAAAATCTATCATAACATGTTAAATAGATGTTGAACTTACAATGATTGACCGGGACGTCATGCTGCTGAGGCTATGTTTGGAGCGTTGGGATGTTGAAGTTGGGATTACATATTTCCTACTGGCGTGTCCTCATTAGGTCATCCACATTAGTAGATTTTAGTGTAGTGTTTGAGGAAATTTGAGTGATGTGGCGGTGAGAGAGTGAAGAGAGAGAACAAGTGAGGCAGGAGGGTTTTTTTTTTTTTTTTTTTTTTTTTTTTTCCTTTTTTGTGACAGACACCCTTTGTTTTTTTTTTTTTTTTAAAAAAAAAAAAATCTTTTTTCTTTCTTCTCTTTCCGATCCATATCTCTCCTACTTGACACCTCAAAAATCAATCCAAAAACTTCACTATTGAGGATGCCTTAACAATTAGCATTAGTTTCAGCCTATTTTATTTTCTGAAAAAATATAATAAAATATTATAAGCTACTCGTATGGACACTTCTTATTGAAAAAATAGTTATAAATTTAATTTAAAAAAAAAAAATTTCTTATCATGTGTATTTGCTT